CCCTAGAAACCCTACAAACCCTAGAAACCCTGTAAACCCTAAACCCTAGAAACCCTAAACCCTCGGGTTTCAAGAGTAAATATAAATGTATTTATCGCCTTCAGGCGATGTGAGGAAACAACCAAAATTTTAAGATTGTTTTTCCTTCATACGGTAAACACTCTAGGGTTTAGGGTTTAGGGTTTAGGGTTTAGGGTTTAGGGTTTAGGGTTTAGGGTTTAGGAGTCAAGAGAAAGCCATGCTGCAGCTAAGTGCTGCTGCAGCAGCAAACGATAAGCAGCAGCATCCATCTGCTGCGTCAGGTTCTCTTCTCTGTCTAGCAGCAGCAGCAGCAGCGCGGCGAGCTCATGAGGGCACTGAAACCACAAACCCTAAACCCTAAACCCTAAACCCTAAACCCTCGGGATAAGACCAGGGAGAAAGTTACACAGGCTAAAGTTTTTACAAACAAACTTCTAGGGTTTAGGGTTTAGGGTTTAGGGTTTAGGGTTTACCGTGAAGGCCTCGCCAGTCTCAAGGACTCGGTGTTGGTAGAAGGGGCCTGCATACAAAACACCAAACCCTAAACCCTAAACCCTAAACCCTAAACCCTAGCGTATGAGGGTTTAAGAAATAGACTGACATGAGCAGAAGCGGGGCAGCACGAGAAAGCGATTCCAACGCCCATAACCTGCAACATGCTGCTGCTGCTCTTGCTGCAGTTGCTGCTGCTGCTGCTGCTGCTGCTGCTGTTGCTGCTGCTGCTGCTGTTGCTGCTGCTGCTGCTGCTGTTGCAAATTAGCCGCTCCACAAATCGCCACCGCCGAATCTTCTCCTTGGTACCCATCCGGTTGCTGCAGTTGCTGCTGCTGCTGCTGCTGCAGTTGCTGCTGCTGCTGCTGCTGCTGCTGCTGCTGCTGCTGCTGCTGCTGCTTGAGAAAGGCCTGGTTGTAGCGCGTGGCTTCGCTGACTTCTCGGGGCCTCCGCGAGCTGCTGAAGGACTGAAGGTGACCCACAGACACCAAACAAAAACTGCTGCTGCTGCTGCTGCTGCTGCTGCTGTTGCCGCTGCTGCTGCTGCTGCTGCTGTTGCTGTTGCTGCTGCTGTTGCTGCTGGGGGGCATGGGGCTGCTGGCGGTGGTACTACAGCTGCAGCAGTTGCTGCTGCAGTTGTTAGCAGCAATCATCGTGTTGCTGCTGCTGCAGAAACAGCAGCAGCAGAAGGAATAGATACAGTGGATCTGAAGCAGCAACAGCAGCTGTTGCTGCTAAACCCTAATTTCGAATGAAGAAGAAAAAATATACATATTGGTGGTTATGCAAGGGTTTAGGGTTTAGGGTTTAGGGTTTAGGGTTTAGGGTTTAGGGTTTACAGTCCAAGGATGCATCGTAAAGAGCCTGAAGAGCCCGCGAGAACTCCACCAGCTCAAAGCAACGCCCTGCTGCTGCTGCATCATGCTTTTCTGCTGCTGCTGCTGCTCCTGCTGCTGCTGCTGGTGCTGCTGTTGCTGCTGTTGTTTCTGTTGGTGCTGCTGTTGCTGCTGTTGCTGCTGGTGTTGTTGTTCCTGCTGCTGCCGGTGCTACTGTTGCTGCTGCTGTAGCTGGCGGTGTTGTTGCTGCTGCTGCTGCTGCTGTTCTTGCTGCCGGAGCAGCAGCAGCAGCAGCAGCAGCAGCAGCAGAAGCAGCAGCAGCAGCAGCAGCAGCAGCAGGAATTCCTCCAGGCCCTCCCCTTGTGTTTTGCTCGCCAAATGAGGCCATCTCTACAACTTAGGGTTTAGGGTTTAGGGTTTAGGGTTTAGGGTTTAGAGTTTAGGGGCAAGACAACACCCCCCAGGATCTCACGCAAAACCCTAAACCCTAAACCCTAAACCCTAAACCCTAAACCCTAAACCCTCGAAAACTGAGTGTATTACTTTCATTTCATAAAACAATAAATATATAATTATAATATAATAATATATTTCGTTAGTAGGTAACCCTAAACCCTAAACCCTAAACCCTATAGCAGCAGTGGGGGGCCCCCAGGGGCCCCGGGGGCCCCCAATTAGGGTTTAGGGTTTAGGGTTTAGGGTTTAGGGTTTGACGCCTTCTGGGTGTTTGTAGGCCTTATAAATTAAATACAAGAGCTGATGCAGCAGCACATATACTCATCGGTGATGGTTTACTTATGAGGGTTTAGGGTTTAGGGTTTAGGGTTTAGGGTTTAGGGTTTAGGGTTTATGGAGAAGGAGGGGGTTCAGGGGGCCCCCCAGGGGGCCCCTCTATCTGAGGGAGATATACAGCTGCTGCAGCAGCAGCTGCTAGCAGCAGCACAGCTCAGCAGCAGCAAGGAGAGACAGCAGGGGTTTGCTGCTGCTGTTGCTGCTGTTGCTGCTGCTGCTGCTGCTGCTGCAGCAGCAACAACAAACAACGCTCCTGCTGCTGTTCTTGCTGCAATACGCATGGGTGAGCTGCTGCAGGTCTTCCTGCTGCTGCTGCTGCTGCTGCTGCTGATGCTGTTGCTGCTGCTGCTGTTGCTGCT